TTTTTTTTTTTTTCAACTAACTGGCAAGATTTATGTTTCCGAAGTTGGCTTATGTCAACAAACACGATATTTAGATAAAAGGAATTGACAAAAACGACTCTGGGTAGGGACTGTCACGTGTACCTTATCATAAAAGGTCGAGAGAAAAGCAAAAAGGCAGCAAGAGACAGAAAATGACAGAACGGTTAAGCGGGGGAGGATTCAAAGAAGCAGATTGAAGGAAAAATGAAAATCAAGGGAAGAAAGAATAAATCGGTGAATAAGGGATACAAAAAATCAAAAGAAAGAAAGAAAGAATCAATCGATGAATAATAAAATAAAAGAAAGAATAAATCGATCAATAATGAAAAAAAGAAAAAATGAAAGAATAAATAGGTGAAAACAATTAAAGAATAAGTCAGTGAATAAGGAAAAGAATGAAAGAATAAATAGGTGAATAAAGAAAAGAATGAAAGAATAAATCGGTGAATAAGGAAAAGAATGAAAGAATAAGTCAGTGAATAAGGAAAAGAATGAAAGAATAAATATGTAAATAAAGAAAAGAATGAAAGAATAAATAGGTGAATAAGGAAAAGAATGAAAGAATAAATAGGTGAATAAGGAAAAGAATGAAAGAATAAATCAGTGAAAAAGGAAAAGAATGAAAGAATAAATAGGTGGATAAGGAAAAGAATGAAAGAATAAATAGGTGAATAAAGAAAAGAATGAAAGAATAAATCAGTGAATAAAGAAAAGAATGAAAGAATAAATAGGTGAATAAAGAAAAGAATGAAAGAATAAATCAGTGAAAAAGGAAAAGAATGAAAGAATAAATAGGTGAATAAGGAAAAGAATGAAAGAATAAATAGGTGAATAAAGAAAAGAATGAAAGAATAAATCAGTGAATAAAGAAAAGAATGAAAGAATAAATAGGTGAATAAAGAAAAGAATGAAAGAATAAATCAGTGAAAAAGGAAAAGAATGAAAGAATAAATAGGTGAATAAGGAAAAGAAAAAGAATAAAAAGAATAAATCAGTGAATAAAAAGAAAAGAAATGAAAGAATAAATAGGTGAATAAGGAAAAGAATGAAAGAATAAATAGGTGAATAAGGAAAAGAATGAAAGAATAAATAGGTGAATAAGGAAAAGAATGAAAGAATAAATAGGTGAATAAGGAAAAAAAAGAATGAAAAGAATAAATCAGTGAATAAGAATAAAAAGAATGAAAGAATAAATCAGCGAATAAGGAAAAGAATGAAAGAATAAATAGGTGAATAAAGAAAAGAATGAAAGAATAAATAGGTGAATAAGGAAAAGAATGAAAGAATAAATAGGTGAATAAGGAAAAGAATGAAAGAATAAATCAGTGAATAAGGAAAAGAATGAAAGAATAAATCAGCGAATAAGGAAAAGAATGAAAGAATAAATAGGTGAATAAAGAAAAGAATGAAAGAATAAATAGGTGAATTGGAAAAGAATGAAAAAATAAATCAGTGAATAAAGAAAAGAATGAAAGAATGAAAGAATAAATAGATGAATAAGGAAAAGAAAGAAAAAATAAAAGAATAAAAAAGAATGAAAAATAAAATGAATAAGGAGAAAAGAATGAAAGAATAAAATGAAAAGAAAAGAATGAAAAATAAATAGGTGAATGGAAAAGAAAAGAATAAAAGAAAAAAATAGTGAAAACAGATAAATAGATGAAAAAAAAGAAAAGAATAAGGAAAAGAGAAAAAGAATAAAATAAATAATAAAATAAAAAGAAAAATAAATCGGTGAATAAAAAAAGAAAAAAAGAATAAATTGGTGAAAAGAAAAAAAATGAAAGAAATAAAATAAATAGAAAGAAAGAAAAGAAAGAATAAAAGAGTGAATAAGAAAAAAAAATGAAAAAAAGAAAGAATAAATCAAGGAAAAGAAAGAAAAAAAGAAAAGAAAGAATGAAAATTAAATCAGTGAATAAGGAAAAGAAAGAATAAGTTGGTAAATAAGGAAAACAATGAAATAAACAAAAAGAAAGAATAAATAGGTTAATAATGTCAAGAAAAAAAATCGGTGAATGAGGAAAAGAAAGAAAGAAAGAATAAGTCTGTGAATAAGTGAAAGAAAGAAAATATATCGATGAATAATGAAAAGAAAGAAAGAACAAGTCGGTGAATAAGAAAAATAAAGTAACGAACAAAAAGAAAGAAAAAACGAATTACTGGATAAGGAAAAGAAAGAATAAATCGTTGAATAAGGAAAAAAAAAAAGAAAAAATAAATCGTTGAATAAGGAAAAAAAAAAAGAAAGAAAGAATAAATCGTTGAATAAGGAAAACAAAAAAAGTAAGAAAGAATAAATCGTTGAATAAGAAAAAAAAGAAAGAAAGAATAAATCGTTGAATAAGGAAAACAAAGAAAGAAAGAAAGAATAAATCGTTGAATAAGGAAAAAAAAGAAAGAAAGAATAAATCGTTGAATAAGGAAAACAAAAAAAGAAAGAAAGAATAAATCGTTGAATAAGGAAAACAAAAAAAGAAAGAAAGAATAAATCGTTGAATAAGGAAAAAAAAAGAAAGAAAGAATAAATCGTTGAATAAGAAAAAAAAAGAAAGAAAGAATAAATCGTTGAATAAGGAAAACAAAAAAAGAAAGAAAGAATGAATCGTTGAATAAGGAAAAAAAAAGAAAGAAAGAATAAATCGTTGAATAAGGAAAACAAAAAAAGAAAGAAAGAATGAATCGTTGAATAAAGAAAAAAAAAGAAAGAAAGAATAAATCGTTGAATAAGAAAAAAAAGAAAGAAAGAATAAATCGTTGAATAAGGAAAACAAAAAAAGAAAGAAAGAATAAATCGTTCAATAAGGAAAAAAAAAAAGAAAGAAAGAATAAATCGTTGAATAAGGAAAAAAAAAGAAAGAAAGAATAAATCGTTGAATAAGAAAAAAAAAAGAAAGAAAGAATAAATCGTTGAATAAGGAAAACAAAAAAAGAAAGAAAGAATAAATCGTTGAATAAGGAAAAAAAAGAAAGAAAGAATAAATCGTTGAATAAGAAAAACAAAAAAAGAAAGAAAGAATAAATCGTTGAATAAGGAAAAAAAAAAAAGAAAGAAAGAATAAATCGTTGAATAAGGAAAAAAAAAGAAAGAAAGAAAGAAAATCGTTGAATAAGGAAAACAAAAAAAGAAAGAAAGAATGAATCGTTGAATAAAGAAAAAAAAAGAAAGAAAGAATAAATCGTTGAATAAGAAAAAAAGAAAGAAAGAATAAATCGTTGAATAAGGAAAAAAAAAAAAAAAGAAAGAAAAGAATAAATCGTTGAATAAGGAAAAAAAAAAAAAAAGAAAGAATAAATCGTTGAATAAAAAAAAAAAGAAAGAATAAATCGTTCAATAAGGAAAACAAAAAAAGAAAGAAAGAATAAATCGTTGAATAAGGAAAAAAAAAGAAAGAAAGAATAAATCGTTGAATAAGAAAAAAAAAGAAAGAAAGAATAAATCGTTGAATAAGGAAAACAAAAAAAGAAAGAAAGAATGAATCGTTGAATAAGGAAAAAAAAAGAAAGAAAGAATAAATCGTTGAATAAGGAAAACAAAAAAAGAAAGAAAGAATGAATCGTTGAATAAAGAAAAAAAAAGAAAGAATAAATCGTTGAATAAGAAAAAAAAAGAAAGAAAGAATAAATCGTTGAATAAGGAAAACAAAAAAAGAAAGAAAGAATAAATCGTTGAATAAGAAAAAAAAAGAAAGAAAGAATAAATCGTTGAATAAGGAAAACAAAAAAAGAAAGAAAGAATAAATCGGCAAATAAGGGAGATAAAGAAACAATCAAAAGAAAGAAAGAAGAATCAATCGATGAATAATAAAATAAAGGAAAGAATAAGTTGATCAATCATGAAAAGAAAGAAAGAATGAAAGAATAAATCGATCAATAACGAAAAGAAAGAAAGAATGAAAGAATAAATCGGTGAGTAAAGAAAAGAAAGAAAATAAGAAAAAAGATTAATAAAGAATCACTCGGGAAATAATAAAATGAAAGAAAGAAAAATAAATCGATGAATAAATAAAAAAATAAATCATAAACAGATAAGTAAGAAAAAGAAAGAAAGAATAAATCGGTAAATAAGAAACAATCAAAAAGAAAGAAAGAACGAATCTATGAGTGAATAACAAAATGAAAGAAAGAATAAGTTGGTAAATAAGGAAAACAAGGAATAAAAAAAGAAAGAATAAATAGGTTAATAATGTCAAGAAAAAATAAATCGGTGAATGAGGAAAAGAAAGAAAGAAAGAATAACTCTGTGAATAAGTGAAAGAAAGAAAATATATCGATGAATAATGTAAAAAAAGAATAAATCGTTAAATAAGGAAAAGTAAGAAAGAATAAATCGTTGAATAAGGTAAAGTAAGAAAGAATAAATCGTTGAATAAGGAAAAGTAAGAAAGAATAAATCGTTGAATAAGGAAAAGAAAAAACGAACGAACGAAAGAAATAATAAATCAATGAATAACAATAGAAAGAAATACTTGTAGGTAATAATTGTTGAATAAGAATAAGAATGAAAGAAAATAGAATAACTCTGTGAATAAGCAACAGAAGACATAATAAATCGATCATTAAAGAAAGCAAAAGGAATAATTCGGTGAATAATGAAAATAAAGAATAAATCATTGAATAAAGAACACAAGGAAAGAAAATAAATAAATATGCAAAGGAAAGAGAGAACGAAAGGTAAGTATAAATTAGTGAATAAGGAAAAGAAAGAAATGAATAAAATAAAGAGGGATACAGAAGGGAGAAAAATAGACAGAAATCAAATGTTCATAAACGTAAAGAGAAAGAGAGAAAAAGACAATGAAAACGACAGTATAAAAGACTAACATCGTTTTACAGAGTGGCTATGAGAGTTACATTACTTTTATTGATCACATATAAATATATAAGAAGCAAGTATTTCCCTGATGTCAGTACATTCAGAAATGAAAGCATGGAGCAATTAAACTGAAAGAAACGAAGAAAAATTAAGAGCAAAGGTATTAGTAAAGAAAGAAAAGAATAAACCAATAAGGAAGAAAAGAATAAATCAATAAGAAAGAAAAAAGAGGGGAAGAAAGAAAAGAAGAGAAATAACGAAGAAGAAAAAATAATAGGCAAAAAGTAAAATCGAGCAGCAACAAAGAGAAAGAGACGATGAGGACAGATGGCATGAAATAAATAGAAAGAAAGAAAGAAAGAAAGAATGAGATGGAAAATGAAAATAAGAAAGACGAAAAAGAAAAGTAGAAATATCTCACGAAAAAGAAAGAGATAAATGATAGAAAATAGAAGATAAGGAAAATAAAAGAAAGGAAAAAGCAATAAAATAGATAAAGCATCTCGGAAAAAGGAAACGAGAAAAACGAAAGAAAAGAGAGAGAAAAGAAAAAAAAAAGAATGAAAAAAAAATATAAAATTATAGTCTCACAAAAAAAAAGAAAAAAGAAAAACGAAGAAGAGAGCAAAGAAGAAACAAAGGAAAAACTGTAAAATAAAAAGAGTCTAGAAAAGATTCAACGTGAAAAACGAAGGAAAAATAAAGAAAAGAAAAAAAGAAAATGAAAAAGCACTAAAATAAAAAAAGTCTAAAAAATGAATCAACGTGAAAAACGAAGGTAAATGAAGAAAAGAAAAAAAAGAAAGGAAAAGTCTATAGAATAAAAGAGGCTCTAACAAAAGAAACAACGAGAAAAAGAAGAAAAAGAAACAAAGAAAAGAAAAGTCTATAGAATAAAACAGGGTTTAACAAAAAGAAACAACGAGAAAAAAAATAGAAAAGATACAAAGAAAGGAAAAGCCTATAGAATAAAACAGGGTGTAACAAAAAGAAACAACGAGAAAAAAGAAGAAAAGAAACAAAGAAAGGAAAAGTCTATAGAATAAAACAGGGTGTAACAAAAAGAAACAACGAGAAAAAAGAAGAAAAGAAACAAAGAAAAGAAAAGCCTATAGAATAAAACAGGGTGTAACAAAAAGAAACAACGAGAAAAAAGAAGAAAAGATACAAAGAAAGGAAAAGTCTATAGAATAAAACAGGGTTTAACAAAAGAAACAACGAGAAAAAAGAAGAAAAGATACAAAGAAAAGAAAAGCCTATAGAATAAAACAGGGTGTAACAAAAAGAAACAACGAGAAAAAAGAAGAAAAGAAACAAAGAAAGGAAAAGTCTATAGAATAAAACAGGTTCTAACAAAAAGAAAGGAAAAACTATAAAATAAAGAAGCGTCCCGCAAAAAAAGAAACAATGTTATAAACGAAGAAAAAGTGATCATAAGTAAAATAAAAGTAACACTGAGTCGCAAGAAATTAATTTAACGAAACGAAAATATTAAAGATTATAGCATATGAATGGAAGCACAAATAACGAAAGAAAATTCAATAAAAATATTTTAGAGGATATACGAAAGAGAATGTATTCAAAGAAAGAAAGATAATTAAAGCAAATAAGCCAACATAAATAATGCGATGGGAAATCTTTCCTCAAACATTGCATAAGAGTTTTATGTAATAGACAAACAACAAAGATATTTAACGACTGCCAAAAATTACGAACAGATCGTCTTTGAGAGAAGCTTTTCGCGAATAGCATTAAAGGGAAATAGTTCTCAGTTTATGTTTCATGTCTTAATGCTCCTGTCCTTTGGCAAATACAGGATTCACTATCGCTTTCTGGAAATCTTCTTGCTTGAGGATGTGAAAGACTTTTGGAGATTCTCCAGCGACAAGTATTTCTACTTGAGAAAAAAATTTCTTTTACAAACACTCGATTAAACGGAAGCTGCTTATGCATTTGTATTCGTTTCTACTTCCGGTATTCAATTTTGAGTGATTTTCAGAGTGGCTCTGACAGTTACATTATCTTCGTTGTTCACATCTATAAGTATATAACAAGTAATTACCTGATGTCATTAAGTTCACTTGCAGAATCGAAATCTATGTAAGAGCAACAAGTGCACATTTTGCCGCGGACTTGTAAATTTTTAATGCTATCTCCCTTTACAACATCGCAGATGCCCAAAGAATCCGGCCAGATCCTGATGAGAATAGCGTTCACATCGTAAGATTGCCTCCATCCGCGACGTCCACACCACCATCTTGCCACGTCTAGCAACGTGAAAAAACCCAGTAGGAATGAATATTTATTTCTGTTTTTTACAACAAAAATTGTGGCATAAGGCCAAATGGTAAGTGAGGAAATTCATTCAATACAATATGCTCAATCACCACAAGAATTTGTCCATCATCTCTCAATCCTACATGTACCATAATACCGCATATTTACGATAGACTTTCAGCTATATTTGGCTGTCCCCCCACGAGGAGTCGCATGTGGCACAAGGCCGAGTTTTACGTGGTCACCCGAGCCCGTAGGCCCGGCCAAAAATATAGCCTTCGACTCGCCTCCCCGAACGAAACCTTGCCCTTCGGCAAAGCTTCGTCCGGGTTCCTCCCTGCTAATGCAGAGAGTTTGACAGACGGCGGTTGCTGTAACTTTAATACAGCTATGAGACCTTCATCACACACCATGATGTAAAATGTATAATGATTTTTTTTGTATTTTTTTTCGATTTTTTTTTAAATATATAAAAATTCATATAATAATGATGGGAGTGGAAATAAATCCCAAACTGAAACAAAGCAGATGTTAGTAGGACCGGTCCACGCCTCAAAATAATGAGTGGCCACTGTATTCTGTCGTTCGACAGAGTTAAGCAGCGCATTCACTAATGGAGTAGAGAAGAAAAAATTAAACAGTGGAGTGGGAAAAAAAATGATTCAGCCGAGATGAAAAAGCAGACCAAAAAAATGGGGAGGTTGGGAATCTCGACATGGCTCCTAACAAAAGAGAGTACCGTGAACAGGCTGGGGACAACACTTACTGACATTAACTAGGAAACCATAAAACAGTGTAACTTAACCAGGAGACGGTTCACATGAAAACCGCTCCGTTGTGCCCAAGAGGACTTAAAAGAGAAAATCAAGGCTAGCCTCGTTCCCGCGAACGAAAATCGCCATAGACACCTTTCGCTGAAATCTGTCGATATCAAACGCTTTCTATCAGATCTTATTATATATTATATTACATTCATTTCATTTTTGTGGCCAAAAATTTGATTGAAACCGCAAATTTAGTTTCCTATAACCTACATATTAGCTATTGATTCAGTCTTATGTAATGATCCAATTAGTATGAATGTGGTTTTCCATAAACTTTTGTCTCTTTTGGACTAAGGCGGCATCACTTGAATCTATACAACTACAATTTCATTAATATGCAATTTTTACAATTTATTTGAATTCTTGATAAAGTCGTTTATTCTATTATGACCAAACCTAAACAGCTTCATATCTTTCAGATGACTGTTCTGTCAGCTGACTATTGTAAATAATAATTAGGCTACACCCTTACTACAATGTCTCCCCGAAAGTTCCGTTTTGGACCACCTAAGCAATCCCAGCGAAGGAAAAGCGAAAGGATAGAAGAAACTGAAGATGCTGTTCTTCAGTTTCTTCTATAAAGAGAAGGGGAGAAGACCCATAATGGCATGCAACTTCATGATCGTCATAAATATCAAAAAACAAGCGGATCTAAGATGAATGATTGGAAGCTCATCGAACTACTGCAGCAAGACAGTCTGAAACTCCAGAAGAAGCTGGCAAAAGACGTAGATTAGATACTCAACGGACTCAGCAGCAAGACAGTCAGAAGATTAAATGCTCAATGGACTGTAGTAGCTAAATAATCTGAAACTCAAGAAGAAACTAAAATGAGACGTAGCATAGATACTCAGCACCATACAGCAGCTGCCAGACAATCTGAAACTCCCGAATTAAGAGAGGAGACTCGGAATGAATACTCGGTGTAATGCAGCAACTAGGCAACTTGATATATTATACAGAAAATAAACATAACTATAATGGTATGTTTTTTTATTGTTGATGTTTTTGCAATACTTAAATAAATATTGTAATAATCATATATTTATCGTTTTCCTCAAACTTTTATTTAGTTATATATGTGATAGTTGCTTCATTTATAGACCAACATATAGGGGTCACAGACCAGAAGGCTATATGCAACCATAATGATACTGACCTGGAGAAAGTACCTCTTTGTTCTACATGAAAATAGACAGTCCTTTCTATTGCGTTACTTGGATGGATATAACTGTATCATTAACATGAATGTTAACAGCCATTTTGTTATGGTCCGGTTCCGTGTGCCACGGTGATAGTCCAAAGTAGAACTAATAAAGAAGAACTCGAACACAGGTATGGAATAACACAGGTATATTACAAACAGGAATATATACAGAGAAGTAGAAGTTAGTATGAACAATCAGGTTTAGTAGAGAGAACAATGTAGTCTCGACCAGTATCACTATTCCAATGTCTTGCAGTAATTGTCTGAACGCGACGCTGTTTCGGACTGCCTCTGACTCGACTTTTGACTCGACTTGAACTACTGACGATATTCAGTCACCCCCACCACGAGGGTGTCATGTGGCACAAGGCCTTTTTAACGTGGGCAATTCCCAAGCCATTAGGCTCGGCCAAAAAATAGCCCATTTGAACCCGTATAAACGGGTTCAGGGCCGGTTTAACCTCCCCGAAAGAGACTCCGCCCTTCGGCGAAGCCTCCTTCGGGTTCCTCCCGCCCGTAGGAAGAGAGGTGAACCGAACAGTCAGTTCAGAGGTGAACGACTGACGATATTCAGTCACCCCCCACGATGGTGTCATGTGGCACAAGGCCTTTTTAACGTGGGCATTCCCGAGCCATTAGGCTCGGCAAACTTTTATTTGAACCCGTATAAACGGGTTCTGGGCCGGTTTTACCTCCCGAAGGAGACTCCGCCCTACGGCGTAGCCTCCTTCGTGTTCCTCCCGCCCGTAGTAAGAGAGTTAAACCGAACAGTCAGTTCAGAGGTGAACGACTGACGATATTCAGTCACCCCCCCCACGAGGGTGTCATGTGGCACAAGGCCTTTTTAACGGGCATTCCCGAGCCATTAGGCTCGGCCAAAAAATAGCCCATTTGAACCCGTATAAACGGGTTCTGGGCCGGTTTTACCTCCCCGAAGGAGACTCCGCCCTTCGGCGTAGCCTCCTTCGGGTTCCTCCCGCCCGTAGGAAGAGAGTTAAACCGTGCAGTCGGTTCAGAGGTGAACGACTGACGATATTCAGTCACCCCCCACGAGGGTGTCATGTGGCACAAGGCCTTTTAACGTGGGCATTCCCGAGCCATTAGGCTCGGCCAAAAAATAGCCCATTTGAACCCGTATAAACGGGTTCTGGGCTGAGCTCCTCCCCGAAGGAGACTCCGCCCTTCGGCGTAGCCTCCTTCGGGTTCCTCCCGCCCGTAGGAAGAGAGTTAAACCGAGCAGTCGGTTCAGAAGTGAACGACTGACTCCCGCCTACTGACTGAGGGGCAGTATTTATTAAGTATGGAATAGTCCATTATTATTATTATGAGTAAGATCCCATAACCCATTTATTACTATATTATATGTTCAATATTCTCTAATCAATATATTTCAAAAACATAGTACAATTTTGGAAGCTTCTTCCAAACCCAGTCAATGATGTGTATTTTTGCTAGTATAATGATATGATCGAAAGAGAATTTGGTAAGTGAAGATTATGAGGATAAGGAGGATAGATGAATGTTGATCCTCGACTTAAAGAGGTTAAAATTATAGCATTCAGGAAAGTATCGTACCATATAGTAGTTCCTGGGCAAATGAGTGTAATCCAGCTCCGTCGTAGCATGTTCTCGCTGTGAAGGTCTGAACTAGTGAAGCAAGGATGGAGGTCATGTGAGCATTTGCTATGGAATTAGCGATAGGCGTGTGACATTACGTTTGTTGCAGAGATACTGCAGGCCGGAGAATAAGTCTTCCTTCACAAAACCGTGTAAACGACTGAAAACATTTAAAATTTTGGTACCTTGATTGAAGAAGCTATTCAGATTTGTTTTATTTGTTATTAATATACGTATACTTGATGTTAACTAGTAAGGAAAAATACACTACCTAGTAGTTTGTGTTAATCAGCACAAATGTAATTTTAACTGGATACGTGCCAAGTTATGCCTCGGGATATAGTAATGTTTGTATAGCTAATATATAATTTAAATTTGCGCATCATGATGTATACCACATTTTGGTAGTTTTTTTAAATAGATTTAGTCTTTTTTTGTTCGGGCATAAAATTGAATTTGTTGGCTTACCTTTTCATCGGGAAGATAAGGCAAAGTTTCGTCTCCGTTGCGAATTACCTGCCCACCAAATACAACGTTGTAAGTACTTGTGTACACAAGCCGTTCAACATTCATCTGCAAGCAAGCTGAAAAGAAATAGGACCAAATGTTACTAAATTATGAAATTGATAATTGTAGAGATCATTTCGAATCACCATTATTTTTCATGTTTCTTTTTTAGGTATCGGTCTTGAAATTTAAATACAAGTAAGCAAATAAAATGAAGTCCGAAGAAGAAATTGCAATTCCATTGGTCCTGACCTGTCATCTCGGCTTCGGTCACTTTCCCTCTGCCCTAATGAAGCTTCCCTGTGCCTTTTTTATAAATACTTTATTGGTAATTGTTCTGAACTCTAATCTATGGTACTTTGACACTATTAATTTAAGCGCAGTACTAGGTTGGCGGCCAGGTCTCATCATATTACATTTGAAATATCCAGATGAAACCGTAAGTTTTATGCTAACAGTTTCTTCTTATTTGTGGAACTCTCTTGGCTTCTTGCTTTCCAGTCAGGTTTGATCTTCTTAATTCTCTTTCTTTTATTGTTCTCGCTCCTCAATAATGTTTTTTTTCTCTTTTTCTTGGATTCTTTCATACTTAGTAAACACTACACCCCTTGCGTTTTGGTGGCTTTGATGACTTTCTTGGGTTGAAAGGATTAAAAATATATTTGTTGTGGTACGATCCACCTAATTTACATAGTGGAGTGCCGACCATATAAATATGGGTTGGTACCGGGAAGACGAGGGAAGGAACAAGAGATCCAATCCAGAGACTCTGCCCGACTGCGATTAAGTCAACCCATTCTACAGGAACAGTCTTCCCAAGAATATACCAAAACTAACTGTAAATATTGTGTACCTTTTCCTTGTTTCAATACATTTTGTTTACGTACATTTTGTGTTGTATTATTATTATTCCATGCTTATCCAAGCTTCAACAATGGCGACGAGGTATAAAGAACTTTACGAAAAAAAAAAAAAGAATTGATAATTGATAGCCTTCAACAATTGGGACAAGTCTTTGAAGAACCCAGGCTGAAGAAAAAAAAAATTATTAATTAAAAGTCCAACATCTAACAAAACGGAAAAAATATTAAAATTAGGCAAATGGATCTACAAAGAAATAGCCATAATCATCAACCCATATAGGAAGCCAATTTGAAATCCAAAAGGGATTCCATGGCTTGGGAGGGGGGTGTTGTGGTACGATCCACCTAATTTACATAGTGGAGTACGACCATATAAATATGGGTTGGTACCGGGAAGACGAGGGAAGGAACAAGAGATTCAATCCAGAGACTCTGCCCGACTGCGATTAAGTCAACCCATTCTACAGGAACAGTCTTCCCAAGAATATACCAAAACTAACTGTAAATATTGTGTACCTTTTCCTTGTTTCAATACATTTTGTTTACGTACATTTTGTGTTGTATTATTATTATTCCATGCTTATCCAAGCTTCAACAATATTATAAGTTACTTTTTATCACAGACAATACTTTTAAGCGATAAAACTTATCTGAGCATTTATAAATCATAAATGCTTAGAACATTTTTCCATATTTTTTTTCTTACTTGGATTTATAATATCGCCATTTATATAACGTCACATCCCTTAGCATATAAACATTTAATAATTGTGAATTGCCATGTCTTCTCCTAGGCTGGCTGTCATGCATAAATTCACTTTCATATCTTTAGGTTTTATTACAATGATAATCGTCGCTTTTTAAAAACAATAAACATTGTCGTGCATGTAGTTAAAATATTTGCGGTGTCAAGGGAAAGACTTGACCCTCCTTTTTTTTGCGGGAACAAAGGTCCAAGTTTGCCAAATTCTTAGAACACCAAAAAGAACAAATAATATAATCGCATAACACAATAAATCTACGGATTTTTTTTTTACAAAAAGGATATTATTTTATTAGAGTAAACTGCGCGAGCACGTATGAAAATGTATATAAATTAAGACATAATTTTCATGGATTCTGTGAGATTGGTACGAGATGTGAACGAGAAGTGAGTTGTGTGGACAATATGGGTAACTCTCTTAGAAAGATTTTAAAATAAGATAAATACAAAATTGGATATACTGAAAGTTTTGAAGGCATAAAGGACTTCTTTAAGGCGATATTAATTTATTTTTGAAAAGCAAATTAAGAAATATTATTTCTTTTTAAATGGTTTATGGAAATACGTTTTAGCGATTCTTGTGCATTTGATTATTTGAAACGATATTTAGTATTCAATCTGTTTTAGATATATATATATATATTTGCTTTGAAGCGTTTTATGTAAATTTATTTCAGGAATTTTTTAATATATTGTCAAATGGGTATTTCTGAAGGTCTTCTGTTCCCATGGAATAACAAAAATAATACAAATGAATATCTGATTCAAATTTGTTTAATATATGCATTTCTAACCTTTACGGCTAGGACCCGCAGTGACTCTTACATTGTAGAAAGACATCTACATTCCCTCGGTATCCCACTCAAACTTTTCGCGAACCATTGCTCCGTGGAACCGACTCCCAAGAGGATATTTCCCTGGGTACTATAATCTTAACCTGTTCAAGTCTAGGGTTAACTGTTATCTACCTCTCCTATCCGTATAAACTGCCTCTTAATGTAAACCTCTATTTCGAATGCCAATGCCCCCACCCCCATCGGGCCTTGTGCAGAGTGAACATCACTTCAAAAAAAAAAAAAAAAAAAAGAAATGATTTACATTTTACATAGGTTCCTACTTTTTGACTTTGTCGTTATTAAAATGATAATCTTTCAGTTTTGATTTGTTTTTTGTTCAGAGGATGTCTTTTTAAATTATGCGTTCTAAAGATATTCTTTGGGGTTTCGATAAAGCAAAACTTGGAAAATCCGGCAAAATTCATAAAACCGTTGCCACATCGTAAAAGTTGTATGTACTCTAGTGTATTTTATACAAATTATGGGAATATCTTACACGTCAACGGTGTTCATATTTCCCAGGATATCATCATTAGGTTTTGGAATATATGAAAAAAAAGAAAGATAAAAATGGTTTATAATGTAAAATGCAGTTTGCATATGTGCATGTTTTTGGAGGCTGTGTTTGTTGCTAGCTAAACCGAGAAAGAGAGACAGAAATGGAAATCAGGAAACTCAGGAAATGTGTTCGAAAGAAACGTTGATATATAAGAGAAAACAATTACGCGCGCACACATAACACACAAGGACAGTTGCATTATAGATTAGCATTGCTATGCACGTGTGCGCAGATATCGAGCCATTGCATGTGTGTCGTGATGATCAACTGACAAAGTGAGAATAAAAATTAACAACAGCAAAAATGTGAACGCGTGAAAGTTGGGGAAATGAGAAAAGTATCTTTGAAATATAAAATATTACAACGACCCGTGCGCATGCGTACATATGCTAATTTTGTGCACGATGTCACCTCAGCTAATTAGGACCAATCTACTTGCTTTCTATCGGGGTTAGAACCGCAGTTTATAATTTTAAGCTCTGGAATCTCCCGGCATATTTTAATAAGATCATTTGACATTGATGTTAAAAGTGATAAAATGGTTATTTAAATTTGAAAAACTTGTATAATATAAATAGAAAACTCGGAAACTACGTAATATAACTTCCCAGTGCCTTTTCTATAAATACTTTTATGGTAATTCCTCTGATGAACTCTAATTATTGCTGGATGGCACCTAGATGTTATAGTTAGTAGTACTAGATTGCCGGCAAGGTCTCATCATTTTACAGGTGAAATGGCCAGATGTATACGTAAGTCCTATGCTAATAGTTTCTACTGTTGCTCTTCCCGCTTGTGGAAATCTTCCGGCTTTTTGTTTTCCATTCAACTTTGATCTTCAAAAATTTAAATGCAATATCAATCATTATAATCTGTCTACTTAATTTCTGTTCTTTTATTATTATCGCTCCTTAATAGTATTTTTTTTCTCATATTCTCTAATACTCAGTAACCATTTGTGTCTTAGTGGCTTTATCGCCTATTTTGGGGATAGAATTTTTAAAAGGCCAAACGGAGAACCTATTAACTGTAAAACTAATTTTAATTGGACGAATTTTAAAAAGAACCAAATCAATATACATTCAGTCAAAATTTCGTGAATTCAACCGAAAAGAGCCGGGGAGCTAACTAGACGGTCCATGGTTAGGTTTCTAGGGAGAGAGTATCTGGTACTTTTAGGGACGCGAAACCCCTAATGACACCAGGAATAAACATCAGATATATTAAAACGACCAGTACGCATGCGTATGCTGATTTTCTTTACGATGTCACCTTTGCTAATTATGATCTAATTCTCCTCTCTCAAATTTCAACCGTTTTTTTTATAGTATTAAGCACTGCCGTATCGAAACATATTCAGATACAAATAGAATATATAAAGACGATAGGATTAAAGATAAAAGGAATGCATTTCTTTATCAAAACGTTTCGTCCTTTATCAAGGTAAATGTAGGTATTTTATTTTGCGACATGTATTTATAAACAGAAGTAACAAAAAAAAATAGCATTAAATTTTTCAAATTTTTAAATTTAAGAACACTTATAACTATTGTTTGGGTTAACTGGGAAAGTCAAGGTAATCTATGGAGGGTGCTAAATGATGTAATTTAATGCCTAATAAACGAAAGTGAATAAATGTTATTGTTGTTGCTGATTTTTTTATTTACTTATTTGTTTATAGCGACAATTATTTATTTATTTATTAATGTAACTATCATATATTATTTTAATTTAATTTGATGAATTATTTATGCATTTATTTATTTTAAATAATAAAATATTTTGTTTTAACCGTTTTCTTTCTTCTTTGATTTTTATGGCCATTCATGTTGACTTGGGAAAAGAGTATTTCTTTTAAGAAAGGAGATTTTTGAAAAAATCCGAGGCACTTTTTAATTATGAGCGTTCTTTATAAATACATATTGCGAAATAAAATCCTTATATTGGCCTTGATAAAGCCCTTTTCCTTTCCTCTTTATTCATATTTTAATTGGTTCATTTGACATACGCTACAGGCAAAAAGTTTCGGTCTACCTTGCATTTCT